AAAGTATTTACAGAGCCACAACAGGGAATTATTTTAGAAGAAATGTTTTGGTTTTTGTGAAATTCTTTCAGATTTATAGAATACTGTACAACAGGACAACTGACGCAGGGCAACTGACGAAGGACAACCGACGCAGGGCAACTGAGGAAGGACAACTGACGCAGGACAACTGAGGAAGGACAACTGACGCAGGACAACTGACCTGACATTAATAATGGTTTGAATCTCAAATGTATTCAATTACATTTTCAACACTGCCCATTTTTAAAATGTGAACAACAATAATACCATTATCCTACTGTATACTGTAATCTTGGATTTGTATCCTAGTAGATAAAAAAGTATTTAATACCATGAACAACAGAGTCTGGAGCAGAGAAACACAAGGTTTACATGTTTGATGAGGATCGTGTAGATTTGCTTTTCTTTTCAGAAATGATTTGTTCTCACATTAATGCTGACTGTGTGACCAACAAGAGACAAGTGTCAACAACAACAAGTGTCAACAACAACAAGTGACGACAACAACAACAATCTACAATGTGTTCTGTTTTCTCTTTGGAGAAAAACACATTTTAGTTTGTACTAACTTTTTGAGACATTGGTTTCTGGTCCAAGTTTCTCTCTCTCTCACACACACACACACACACACAGCCACGGTGTGATAACATCACATTAGGACGCTCATGTTGCTGGCTAACCTTTAGCTTCTCCACGCTAGCCTGTAGCAGCCTCATGGTGAACCGTTTGTTTTTTTACTGATCTTGTCTTTTCATCTTAGAGGTGGCTGCTTTTTTCAAGTGTTTTTTCGGTGTGTGCTACGGAGGCCTGGACGGACTGTCACCAGCTTTTGTTGAATGACGTCGTTTACCTTTTGTCATCATTGTATCATTTTGGATGAAACGCACTTTAAAGAATGTTCATGTTGATTCTTTACAAAGTGTCGTTTTCTACCGCAGGACGTGGTTTCCTCTCCGTCCTTCAGACTCCCAGACAACATGACGCTGGGCCACGAACAGACTCTCACTTTACCGTGGAATAAAAAGACTTTCACCGCGTTTTCACCTTTGTCGCAACACACACAAAATCACCGCATTCCAGGCAAAATAAACACAAGAACAAGTCTCCATTTTAAAAGTAAGAGCTGGCATGAAGTGACAAACGACCGTTAAACTATCAAAGAACCTCAGAATGATACAGCAGAGCAAGAAGAAACGTCGGGTAACTACGGTGTACAAACCGGGCCGGTGCGGCTAACACTGGGCCAAGGGAGAAGCAATGGTCGGTGTGAGTCTGGGAGGATAAACAACCTCCGCCCAGGGAGCTGCAGCCGTGTGTCCTCCTCTCTCCTCTTTTCTCCTCCTCTCCTCTCTCCTCTTTTCTCCTCTCCTCCTCTCCTCAGCGTGTGGACACAGAAACACAGTGGGAAATAACACGTCGCAGCAGCTCAACCTACCGCCGCAATCTCGGCCCCGCAGCACATCTCCAGCGACGCAGCCCGCTTCTCTCTCTCCTCGTTCCTCGGCTTCTTTCTCCGTTTCCCTCTGGCCTGCGACCTAGTTTTCTCCGATTAAATCATTACTACTTTCTGAAAGTACCAGCGGTGCCGACGACGACGACCTTTGCGAGTTCTTCTGCGCCCGGACCAACGACGCTAAGACACGAAGACGACCGCCGAGACGCTACGCAACTTTGTCCGCTGTGAGACAGAGCCAGAGCTGCGGCCTCCTCCTGGCGTCAAGACAACGGAGATGAACACACACACAATACCGCTGAGATTTTTCACAATAAGAGCTTTCACCAAAGCCCTTGACGTACAGACAGATAAAATGAACCCGACTAGTCGTCAGTCTCTGACGATCATTCAACGTTTATTCTTTTAGTTTGATACTTCTAAATTTAGGACGGGTGCGGAGTTGACAGATATCTACCGAGGTTGGTGAGAAGATCCATGATGACACTGAGATGTTCCCAAGATTGACAGACGTGGAAAAGTCAGAGTGTAAAATCATAGAGAGGAGAACACACTGAGCAGATGTTCGTGGAGAGGAGACATCAGTGGTCCTGGTCCTGGTCCTGGTCAGCCTGACCATATGAACAGGCTTGCTGTGTTCTTTTAAACTGACCTCTGTAGGTCTGTAGATCTGTAGGTCTGTGACCCTCTGGGCCACGACACCACCTGGATTCAGTGGTAGAAGACGAAAACGCCCCCCAGCCCCACGAACCCCTCGGCTGCAGCTTCTTGGTGACGTTTGGGACTCTCACCTTTTTTTCTGACGTCCCTGCTTTCATTTTTGTCTCATATCAACAGCACGTTTTCTTCGACTTCATTCACATCAAAGTCAAACTTCAGAAGTCACTGGGGATTTCGGTTTTTAATTTAATAAGTGAGTCATATCACCAGTAGGGGTCGTCCCACATTCACTTTTTGCCGATATACGATATTGACCAATCACTTCATACCGATATAGAGGACCACAGTGTCCTGGTAGTTAAGATAGTTAAGCACCGCCTGCTCACTAAGTTGGTGGGTTAAAGCCACGCCCCCTTCACTGTTATTAAAGTGTCTTTGTTATTCAGTCAAGGTGAGGGTTTCTGAAGTAGGAAATAAGATAGCGACCTTCTCTCTCTCTCTCTCACACACACTCACCGTAGTCGATCACTCAGGGGGAAATATGAGGATGATTTAATGAATAGAGAAATAACTCAAGGACAGAGTTCCAGTAGAACCTCAAGTTTTCATTCTAATTCTAATTTCATAATAATAGACAAACCATAACAAACAGCAGGACTGCATGAGTACTTCTTATTTAATACAAAAGCATATACACATACACACACACACACACACACAGTGTGCACACATCCTAACTACAGTCTCAAATAACAAAATGGACAAAACAGGACTTTAAAAAAACAGTCTGTACATGGAGCAAATGTTTGAGGACAAGAACATCTGCAGGACAGTGCACGTGTGGCCGTGGCTGCAGCGGCGCCTACTTGGACTTCCTTCTCTTGGCCTGGGTGGGGCTGGCACCAGCTTCTGTTCAAACACACACAATCAGAGGAATCAGTGTTCTCAGGTCAGTCTTCACAGACCATATGACAGACACCGCAACGGTCTCTATTTTTGAGTACCACAAGGGGGAGTCCAAGAACTTCAGTCCTATATACTGAAACACACCCAGCCAATGAAACAGTGACGTTTTTCACATCACTTTTGTTCAGTGATGACTGCGCTGAGGTGATCCCGGTCACACCGGATCTGAGGTGATCCCGGTCACACCGGATCTGAGGTGATCCCGGTCACACCGGATCTGAGGAACGTTCTATGGTCAGCACAAACGTGGAAGTGTGACCAGGGTGAAACCATGTTCTACCTTTCACAGCAGCCGTGGTTCCAGGCCTGGCCGACCTCTTCCTGGTGCCACTGTCAGCAGCTGGCTCCTCCTCCACCTCCTTCTCCGCCCTGGAGCTGCGCCTGCTGGGTCCCTTGGGCTTCTCCAAAGCAGCTCTGCTGAGAAGAGATCAACCGTGGAGAGGAGCGTGTTACTGAAGATCGAGCCGAACCACCGCGCTCCGCTCCAAGTCAGACATAAAACCACAGAGGACTGCTGTTTTTCCTCCTCTACCACAGACACCGCCCGTCACCGTCGTCAGCCGGACAGCGACCCCGTGGCCGCCGGTCTGCAGCCTCACTTGTTCAAATACATACCTGGGGACTAAGTTGTTGGGCGTCGTTCTTTTCTTTGCCCATCTGTGATAGAAGTGGAAAAACAGCAGTGAACTGTACGCTGTGCTGAACAAACATGTTTCACCTGCCCACCACAACCAGACGAGGTCAGAAGAACCACCAGGGGTCACTGTTCTGAAGTCAAACATGCTGATCAGACATGCCAGGTGTTGAGGTCAGGTGACAGTTATTCACCACCAGGTGCAGAAAAAGAAAAGAACTCTCCTGGAGTTTTTAGGTTTTGAGAAATGAATAGTCAGAAACTGCCAAACAACCATCCCATAAAGCAGTGGTTCTCAAACTGTGGTCAGGGGTTTGGAGTATCAGCTGTGTGAAATGTTGGTGAAACTGTAATACTGAGGGCGACGGAGGTGGTGCGTGCTGTCAAAAGTTTGAGAACCAGCGGAACGAAGCGTTACTGAGACAGAAGAAGGGGGGGGGGTAAGGTGGGGGAGGGGGGGCTGAACTAATCTCACCCTTGTTGTTCAGAGATTAGAGCTGAGGCCTCGTCACCTGGGAAGAAGACAAAGATTATTTTAACATCACCATCAGACACCGTTGACTCTAACGTGGGTTGACACTTGGTACTTACTTGTGTTTTCTGTGGGAACCGATTGTTGTGGTGGAGTTTCTGCAACAGCTTCTAAAAATAATAACAGTATTTAGAGTTTGCACAAAAAAAATGGTTCCATAGCTTCAAAAAACCCCTCTAGGCCTTACCATCAGTAAAATCACCAATTTAATATTTTAAAATCTGCCCAGCACTGAACACACACCAGTTCTCACTGGGTGACTGGTCTGGAACCCAGTGTTTACCTGTGGTGATCTGAGTGTCGTCAGGCGGCGCTGCTGGTGGGGGGGCAGGAGGAGCCACGGTCGGGGGGTCAGACTGGACTGGAGGAGCTCCACCAGGGTTGGCAGACTCACCACCAGGCGGAGGGGCAACAACAATTGGTACAATGGATGGAATGGGACTGTTGACGGCTGTGACGGCAGGAACCAGGGTGGTGGAGGGGGAGGGGGCGCCTGTGCCCGTTCCCACCACTGTGGCAGTGGGGGCCTGAGAAAAGATGCTCTTGTTTGGACCCGGCTCTGTGGCCAACGCAGGAAGTGCGCCCTGGCTCAGTGTGTGAGTGGGAGCAGCAGCCTGGCCAGGAGCTGAGGCTGGAGAGGAGCGTGCAGGAGCCCTCACCTTGTTGGAGCCCCCTGTGGGAGGGGGGGGAGTTCTCACCTCCATCTGAACAGCAGGGGCAGCAGTGGGGTGGGGCAGCTGAGGGGGAACAGCCACAGCCACAGCCACAGACACTGACACTGACCTGTCCACGGGACTGGGCACCACGGCAGCTGAAGATGGAG